CAGGCCTGGCTGAAATACTCAGGCGTCAATGAAGGTCACCTGTCGACTTAGAGTAGTGCCTAAAGACTACTTCGTGCGGCTATAAACAACCGTTAAATGGAATGATGAATTTTTGAAGGATTTTGAAAACGGAAAAAAAATGCCGGCCCAGCATCATCAACATTGAAAAATGCCCCGGCATGAAGTGGTTAATATGAACTTGAATAATTCTGTGGTGAAAGTTAAAGTTTTAGTGGAATGAAAACTGATTGATGGAAAGTTTTTTGAATTTTGAAAGAGCAGTTGTTTATAAGATTGAACAAACTCTTAGGTTTTCTGATAACTTTTGGGGGGCCATTGCTTCACACTTTGCCAATCTCACTATCTTCTTTTTCCTTTCCTTTTCAGTTAGTGTTATACAGTTTAATGCTGGATGACGTTCTGGACGGCCCAGCCAGTGACTTGGGTCTGTTGCTGTATTTGAAGACAGGAGCCATGTTGGCTGTCCCTGCTAATCACATGGACAAAAGAGGTCAGTAACAGATTATATTGACTTGATCTCTTGCGTAAGAGCAGTTGGGGTATTGGAATGCCAGAATCCCTGAGAAGAAGGTTCAGAATAATTACAAAACACCAAGAACCTAAGAAATTAAAGGTGTGACTCAACTGTTTCCGTGCCTGGTTTTTGTCACCAGAACTCATACACTTAAGAAACCAGCTTGCATACTACATCAGCCTGCGTGCCAAGCTGGCTAATGATGGAAAGTGGATGTTGCCGTGGTTACCAGCCCCAATCGAGGATGACTTCACCTGTGGCCATTGCCCGCAGCTGGTCAGCTGTGCATTGCTACAGAGGTAGGAAATTGTTGAGTTCAAATGTCTTTGTTTTTTCATCTCAAGTCTCTCACAAGTTCATCACTGCAAATCCATGATGTGGGTCGTACTGCAGTAATTCGGAGGATGTCTCAGTGTATATCTTTTTTGTTTTTTCCTTCAAATTTATGAAAAGAAATCTGGCTTTGCTTTGCTTGTCACGAAAATGTTGTGGTAGTTATGAGATTCTGGTCAAAGAAATTGCCTGATTGTTCATTTGAGTGGATTTAGGTTTTGGATTGTGTGATTTCAGAAAATGTTGAACTCATCCAATGACAGTTTCATTCAAAAGCCATTCATTCTTTGTATAAAACTGGAAAAAGTAGCAAAGACTGGGTAACTTTGAAGTTAACTTTGCTTCCGTTCACCAGTCTTGAAGTCAGTGCCTACTTCATGCCATTTTTATTTTCATACCGCTTTGACAGAATGGACAATGAGATGGGTGTTGGTCACCAGTTGAGTGAAGCTGGGCACCAGTTCTTTAGGGACCAGCTTAGCCACCTGTGCCCAGCCCATGTTGAGTACTTCAGTCACTGGTATTTGCTATGCACCCTGGAGGGTATGGCAAGTGAAAAGAAGAACTTAACCAATCAGATCTGGTCAACGACGGCCCAGGAAAGGTAAACAAAACACTGTCCCTCTTTGCAAAGATAATTGTAACATGATGAAAGCTATTGATGAGGTTCTAGTGAAGGGGAATATAAGACAAAGAGACAATTCATAGAATAAAGGGTGATTTTTTTATGACAGTGTTAGTGGCATATATCTGCAGAAATAGCGAGGCCCACTTTTAGGGTTGGACACTTTGCTTGAATGATTGGTATTATACCTTGGTATGCAAAGGTTACCCCTGAACAAGACGGAAAAGAGCATTCCACTTACTGATTCACAAAAAGATCAGATACAAATAAGAACTGTGGACAGATTTAAGTAAGCTGCAGTGCCACAGTTGCTGCGGTTTTTGCTTTTAGTGAAATATGAACTAACCCTCATAGAGAGTACTTGCCACACGATTGATGAGCCACTAGTAAACTACCATATGACAGAAGACAGGTTTTAGGTCAGTTTAAAGAGGAATATTAACCAGCCTCACTAGCTGTTCCAATGCATGCATACAATGACTGCATTTGTCTTATAATGGCATACCAAGCTGAATTTCGGAGCAATTTTTGACCTTTATTTATTTGTTGCCCAGAGAGCTGAGCAGCAGGGGCCAGTGTCTGAGTGGTTTACTGTTGGCTGGATGTAGACACAACAAAACGCAAGACACCTACCATCTTACCTTCAAACGATCAACCAATCATCTTGGGTAAGACACCACTGCTGATAATATCTTCTAATGTTCCTGTGATTTAAGAAGAGGGGTTTTTGACTCTCTCGGGGCAGTTTTAGGCACCAAGTTTGCTGAAGCCAACAGCACCCTTTGATAGCAAAATTGTGAAGCTAGCTACATGAACATCCATTTTTTAAAATGGTTAGAACTGTTTTGGATTTTGTTGGATTCTTTTGACTGGTCTTGATTCCTTATTCCTATGATTTCAACCTTGAACTAATCTCATGAATATATTTTTGGTGGACTTGGTAATGTAAAGTGTATCAGCTCTTTTCTGTTAAATTTTACTTGTCTTTACAATATCTTGCTGTCATCATTTCTCTGTAAGATGAGAACTTCTTTGAAAGTTGGTACATTGCCAAGTTTTCATTAATTCCTCCAGAATTGTGCATCCCCCTAGCAAATCCATATTAGAGTTTGACGTTTCCACTGGAGATCGTGTGGTGGTTTCCGTAGAGGGAACCAGGCAAGTAGCGACTTGCACAGGGTTTGTAGAGAGCATCACATCTACAGAAGTGAAAATCAAATCAGAAAGGTAAAACATCAGTTTTTGTCGTCAGCAATCGTCGTTTTCATACTTGAAGTTGTAATTGCTTGTAGACCCCAAACCCAAGCATCTGTTGCCAGTAACTCCAATGTAGGACTGAAAAAAATTCCAGAGTTTTGCAATGTCTTAAACACTTTACTCTCAACTAGCAAAAATAATGGAGTGCCATCTTGCATAACTGTAACCCCCAAGGTTGTGTGTAAAATTCTATGGAAATGAGAGGACTGAAAACTGCCAGGTTAAGTCATAGTTGAATACACTAATCATGTAAACGGTGAGCAGTTTCATAGCATAATTACAGCGTCCTTCAGCAGTTACATTGGGTTTGTCATCCAGATATGAAATCTATACGATGGTGCCAATTTTAAATCGGTTTTCCCACACAACCCACATTCTGTGAAAGCATATCAGCAAAGAGAATTTTGTAACCTGAGCGACGACATCATCAGAGGATTCTTGAATTTATTATTGCTCATTTGTGTTTGCAAAAGAAGGTGAAACATCATTTTTGTTGGGAATTGACGAGACAAAGTTATCCAATATTTTTTTCTCAGACCTTTACAGTCCAACGGGAGAGGCAGCCAGGCCTTTCGCCTGGATAAAGACGATGCTTACAACACCATGGCATCCAGTCTGGTCAATTTAGCCCAACTGATGCGCAATGATGAAAATGCGTAAGTTGTAACAAAAGACGTAATCCACATAATCATTCACGCTGCCAACGCCATTTGAGACGTCAAATCCAAAAGTGTGTGTCATAATCTGGAATATTTAAGTTTTGGGGCCAATGCTAAACAGTGAAACCTGCTAGGTAAAACAAGATTTGCTCAGCAGAAACTGGTTACCAGCTAAAATATTATGTGTTCTGTATCTGGATGATATGGTCAGCAAAGCACCCAGAGGACACATCACACCAACTGTATTAGGTTTGCGCCTCGCGTGGGCGTCTCACGTGGGCATCGTGCCTCTACATTTGTTGTGACTGCCTCTCGGCCTGGAGATAAGAAACAGTGTTTGCATCAAAGCACTTTGCTTGGAACATTCTTTATCTTTATTGAAAAGGGATGAGCAGAGATAGGTTGCAAACAGGAAGGCAGAATGTTACTTAAAGGTAAAAGCAGGTAAAATATGAGAAGATTTTAGTCCTTTGCTGTATACTTGGAAGATGAGAAATATGTGCCACTGGGGGTCTTTAGTTGAGCTCTCTCATGGTTTGTTGAGTGGACTGAGAAAATATTAACAGAAAGACTTGAAAATGTTTCTTGGAATACTGTTTTAGTTTCCGACTTCGTAAGCTCATAGTGGAACTAAGTGAACCTGGGTTTGACAGTCAACCACAGATTCCTGACTCCGCCAAGGCTAAAGGTAAAGTGACATGGAAAGATGGCCTAGATTTATACAGTTGATAAAATTTCACCTGTGTAAAGCATACAAATTCCAAGTTTATACAAAACAACCAAAAAAAATCACTGCCATTCATTCATCACTCACTCACTCACTCACTCACAAGCCTAGTTTCTCACCCTAAGTGGTCCTACGTGCATCTTCTAGCCAAGTTCTTTTCTTTTATCCATAAAATTCACCAAGCATGGATTGTTAGACACTACACAGTGTACGGACTTGATACTTGGGTTCTCGATTATGAGGAGTTATCTAGATATCAGTACAAAAAGAGTGCTGAAAAATGTCCCGATATTTGTGAAAGGTCTTGGACTCAACTTTAAGTACAAATTCTTTTGCAAATATTGGAACATTTTGCATGCCTGCGTCCAAACCTTCATATTTCTCTTATTCAAAATCAACAGTATTTTTGTTTGTCCACTGGATTCTTTTCATTACATCCGACACTTCAGAGAATTTGAATTCAGAAAAAATGTCTCGACCAAAAATACCATTCGACAGTAGCTGACAGAATATTATTGGCAATGTTTTTACTCCTAGGGAAGAAATAAACTTTGGAGTTTTGAAGGGAAAAATATCAAGGCCTGATGAATCTTTTTTAAACTGATTCAACTCTAGTGTCACTTCTTTTATGAAGGAATGTCACCAACAGAGCAATCTACAGGCAAATAATTCTTCATGTTTTGTCTTCCAGTTGTCACATTGGCATTTTATTTTGTTTATTTTAGTGGCTGAAATCTTAAGCTCGTTGAATACAGATCAACAGACAGCCATCAATTCAGTATTGAAGAGCCACGATTATACATTGATCATTGGCATGCCAGGCACAGGTAGAAATTTGGGATCAGTTTGGTTATGATTTAATTAAAATCAATTGAAATTGGATTTGAAGATTGCAGCTAAAGGTGTTGCTGGAGCTTTTGACATTGTTAATTATTTCTTTTTCTTCTTTTTTCCGGTGTTTGACTAGAAATAAATTCAAAATGAACTGTATTACCCCTTCTGGTTTGTTAGTTTTTTGGTCATTTCGGTATTTCTTTTTGTGTTGACTTGGGATGTTATGCATACATTTTATGGACTATTTCTTCACAACACTTGAGTAAATTTGCAGCCTTCATTAGGAATTTACAGAAAACATTCTTTTTTATGCACAGGCAGTTACTTTTTACTTCAGAACCATTGACTACTGTGAGATGAGAAAAACGTTTGTGTTTAATTCCCCTTACGTCAGACAGTTAGTAGAATTTTAAACTTCCCATGCTGGACAGTTGACAAATGTTTCAGCTGAGTTTGTTGAACTTTGCTTGAAGGCAAGACAACAACCATTGTGGCCCTGGTTCGCATCTTGTATGCTTGCAATCTCTCTGTACTACTGACAAGCTACACACACTCCGCTGTCGACAACATTCTCCTCAAGTTAACCAAGGTAGGCCAATTTATTCACTTCCATTTTAGCCTTCTCTGCTTGTTGCAAACCTGGGTGACCTTAACTCGTTAACATTCATTTGACAAAATTGTTTGAGGCTGTGCTTGGTGGAGTATCGCTTTGCCATGCTTGCAGTACAACCATTTTTGTCCCAGCCTAAAAAAAAGAGTCACAAGTCACCACCAGCACTTCTGATGTTAAAGGCCTTAATATAAAGAGAATTTAGCACGATGAAATCTGTTGGAATCAGCCCTAAACATTTGGAATCCGTGCAGTGTTCATTTGCATCAGGATGTCAAAATAAGTGAAATATCAAACACAGGACTCAGTTCCCCCTTTGCAATAAAGTAAAACCTATTGCAAAATAAGTGAATTGGATCATTGCATGTGGTCACATTTTGTACAAATTATTAAAGAAGACAGACTGGCTCCCACATAGTACCAATTGTCTTGTCCGCATTTCACATACTTGATTCAAATACTGAAATCGGGAGTGTCTTTCCTGACCGTTTTCCCTCTCTTTAGTTTGGCTTGTCTCCTCTGAGACTAGGAGAAGTGCATCGCATTCACCCTGAACTAGCTGCATACTCTGAGAAAGAATTGCTGAGTGGAGCTAGGAGTGTCCAGCAGCTGGCTTCGCTCTTCGAAACAAAGGTGAGAATTATCCATGCCATCTACCACAGAACAGAAGACATCGTCGTTCACTGAGTCAGAATCACCTCTGAGTGAGTTTTTTTACAAGCAGCATTTGTTTCATATCCTGAGAGTTGTAATTGTTGGTTCAGAATGGTCGCTCGTCCACTTTGTAAAAATAACTTCGCTGGATAAAAGTAACTTCACTGGAATTCCACCTCACATTGTCTGGTTTACCTGCTCTGCAGGTAATGTTACCCTTTGGCTAATTTCATGGAGATGGTAAACGGCAAACCTTGCTTGACAGATTTATTTACCCGGCAAAAAAACAAAAAGTGAACCAGTCTTATGTAATATTTGTATGGTACTTTTGTTGGTAGCCTACTCATACCAAACCATGTATTTTCTGCACTTTGCAAATCTTATGTTTAGTAGATAATATGGGTACGCCTGTCGCTAATCAACCCAGTAAAACCAAACTGTAATGTATAAATTTGACATTGCTCTGCAACTCCTTGCAACTTATATTCTGAGTTTTACAAAATTGGAACTGAGTCAGTCACTGGCCAATCACAAGTCATGCCACAAGTAAATTTGCAAGTCAGTTTATAAATCGGGTCTGAACTGAAGATATGAGCATTGTCAAAGGCACCCCTCTGTCACAGTCCATTTAAATAGCTTTTTAGGATTTATTTAGGACTGATTGACCCGTGACTGACCTGAAGATATGAGCATTGTCAAAGGCACCCCTCTGTCACAGTCCATTTAAATAGCTTTTTAGGATTTATTTAGGACTGATTGACCCGTGACTGACTTGATTTGACTTGTGACTAACTCTCAACTCTGCAGTTTTCCTTCCACTTTTCATCAAAGCTTATTGTTGCTACAACTTGCCTCGGTGCCAAGCACGCCCTCCTGACCCACCGCATGTTCGACGTCTGTATTGTCGATGAGGCTTCCCAGATCAGCCAACTGGTGTGCCTTGGGCCGCTCTTCCATGCCCGGCGCTTTGTCTTAGTTGGTGACCACAAGCAGCTTCCTCCGCTTGTTCAAAGTGGTGTTGCAAGGTAAAATTCTCCCAAGTGTTGGGCTGCGTGTTTTGTGCAGAGGTGTAGAAGGATATTAGAATAAACGATAATTCAATTTATAAATGGAAATCACACTTTTATTTCGTTGTTTTAAATTTTTGTCCATTTCTTTACATCTAAATATGGAATGGAAGAATGAGTCAAATTCATTTGTAGAGAATATGAAAAATTTCACAACTCTCTCAAAATGAATTGTGATGGACTAGTTTTCAGAATGCTAACTATGGAAGTGTAGATGAGCCATGACCAAGAACTTTAAGTGCTGTCTTATTGCGGAGTTAATATCGAACTGTGAGTTAATATCTTATTGTGGTGAGCTATCTCCTTGAAGCAAGATGCTAACTCGTGGTGGTAAGATAGATACCCAAGAGATAATAATTTGCTGTGGCAAGGTAAGAACTTGCTGTGATGAGGTAGAACTTCCAAAACATTTTTGTTGGTTCTGATACTTCTACACTTCTGTGGCTTACGACAGAATTTCATTCTAAAAATATTCCTTAAATCATTTGTTCAAACTGGCAATTTCTGGTATTTTGTGCACAGTTCACAGTTGTCATGACAACTAGCTTAAATGCGTGCTTTTTGTCATACACTCATGAAGAAATTTGACTACAACAGTTGAATGTTAAAATTTTACAGACCCTCGCTTGTTTGGGAGTCGTTCTTCTGACCAGAAAAATTTGTATAGAAAAGAATGAGTTTTGTTCAGTTGTTCTGTTTCTTTTCTGCAGGCAGCTAGGAATGGACGAGAGCCTTTTCCAACGACTCGGTGTCAAACACGAGTCCCACCCATTGGCCACAGTCCAGTTGAGTCTCCAATACCGAATGAACTCTGACATCATGATGTTGAGTAATGCGCTGGTGTATGAAGACAGGCTTCAGTGTGGAAATGAAAAGGTTTCCATGGCAACACTGCGTCTACCCAAATGGGATTCTGTCAAATCGGTAAAGATACTTTCTATCCCTTGCGATGTATTCATTTGAATTATTAAGTTAGTCATTAATATAATGGCCGATGTTGAACTAAAAAGACTGACCGTAGTTCTGAATGCAGATTTGAGACTGGAGGAAGGGGAAAAGAATTTGTATTCAGCATACGGTCCTTTTTTTCTCTTTTATGAAGCCTTAAAAATGAAAAGTACTTTTTGGATGACGTTATTAACTGAGTGTTGAAAGTGAAAATGATTTAAAATTCTTAATGCAGGAACTCTTAGCAGGGTCCGGTGACAATTCATGGACACTGAAAGCTCTCCAGCCAGCAACCACTGTATGCTTCCTCAACACTGACAAGGTATGCATTTTGAAATATGGGAACTGTGTCAGGAATTTAACAGAGAATGGCACTTTTATAGGTCAGTGCAGTGGTGTAGGTAGGTCTTGTGTCGGTGGGAGGGAGGGGAATTTTGGCAGTCATCATTAGCATGATCACGTGCCATATTCTGACAGAGCTTTGGTGACACTTTCCTCCATTTTGACCTGTTGTCCATCCATGATCTTTTCTCTCTGCCTCAAGAGCTGCTGCCATTGGCTTTGCCTAAAATTGTTTTTCCCTAAAGTGCTGGGTGCCTTAAACTCCTCAGAACAAAATAAAAAGAAATTGTTTACATGCCTCAGGGAGCAGATGGCCCCCCCCGATACACGACAGTTCTGCGTTGAGCACGCTAGCATTGACAATTATTGCGCTGCAATTTGTTGGTGTCTGGAAGCCAACACATCTATCTGCTCAGTAGAGGGAATAACTGATATTCCACATAATAGTGAGTCGTGACCTGTGACACTCAGACATACACTCAACGTAAGTGACTTAAACACAAAAATTACCGTTGTTATTGAAACAAGTAAAATGTATTCAGAGATTACTATGTATTCTGTTACATTTCCGCAAATCCATAGAAATATATCGGTTAAAAATCCTCAGACTCGAGGGAACTCTCAACCAAGCATAAAAGTTGCATCAGAGGACTGATAAACAAATATTTCCGTACACAGTCAAACAGTTGTTTCTCTTTGTGTATTTCGATGACAACAGAAGGTTCAGTTGAATAATTAAAACTTTGTTAGTAGCTATTGTTTGCACCGAAAAGCAGCTTTGCGTTAAAGTATTGATGCTTTAAAAAGCTTAAGCTAGCTGTCATGACCGCTACCACAATAGCTTAATGCCTCCAATTACTAGATCAAATTTTAATGAAGGTTTGTCCTTTTTGGCATTGCATTGCTGTGTTTTGTTTCAGTGGTCAGCTAATAATACACCCATTCAAAATTTTGAAAAAAAAAGGTCAAAGTACCAAAATAAAACAAGTGCTTCATCTGTCCGTGTATCCGTGTTTGTGCACAGATGCATGGAAAACCCAACCAGAAAAGGTGTTGGCACTTGTATGGCTGCATTTTTAATTTCTGACCTTAGAAATAAGTTGAAAAAAGACAAATGTAAATCAAATAATGCCTTTTTATATGCTGCCTCAATAGTTGGCCAAAAGGAAATGTTACCAGACTTGTGTGTCATGGCATCACTGTTCAAGCTAACCTAGGACCATCGCGTTTTGAGTGTAGTCTGAAGTATAGTTCCTGAGGTCTTTGTCCCTCTTCATGAGCATTGGTCGTGGAAGCCGGAGGGGGCAGGAGTGGCCCTGTAACTTTTTTGACTGGGCCTCACCCCCTCCCCCACTACGCACTTTTGGCAGGTTCTTTTAATGGGGTGTGGCTTACCAACTACCAGCCGGGGACTCCGAAATCGGAGCCGTATGGTTTATATGCGTGGCCGGGGTCTCCGAACTCGGAGCCGTATGGTTTATATGCGTGGCCGGGGTCTCCGAACTCGGACAAAGGAAACTGGGCCCTGTAACAAAAGACAGTACTCTGAACAAAAGACCAGGCTGCTGGGCATTACAGGCATTTTTCACTCTCAAAAGTGGTGATAATCCAGCCTTGTTTTGAAACTGTATACCAGGGTTTGGGGCATTGAGAGCAAGCGGATTACCACCGGGGACAAAAGCGCTCCACCACCGCAGCGACGAGCCACACAGCACCGCTGCATGCTTATCTGGCCCCTATTGAAAAGAGGCCAGCAGTGCACTGAGCCAGGTTCGTGAACAAAAGACAGTTGTATAACACCGCACAATCTGGGCTCTATTCA